GCCTGTGCCCTGACCAGGAATCGAAGCGTGGCCTCCTGGTTCCTAGGTCGACGCTCAACCACTGAGCAACACCGGCCGAGCTCACTTTTTTCATAATTAATTAATTAATTTCCTCACCCAAGGATATTTTTCCATTGATTTTTAGAGAGAGGGAAAGACAGAGAGAAATACTGATGTGAGAGAAACACATCAATAAGTAGTCTTCTGAATAACCCCTGACCTGGACCCGGGCCAGGGAGGAGCCTGCAACGGAGGTACATGCCCTTGACGGGCATCGAACCTGGGATCCTGTGGTCCGCAGGCCAAAGGGTCTGATGCTTGATCCACTGAGCCAAACCAGCTAGAGCACTTTTTATTTTCTTAGAGAGGGGAAGGGAGAGAGAGAGAAAGAAACGCTGATGAGAGAGTGTGACATCAATGGGCTGCCTCCTACACGCCTCAACTGGGGATAGAGCCTGAAATCAACCCGGGGCCTGTGCCCTGGCCGGGAATCGAACCCGTGACCTCTCAGTGCAGGGGATCCCCACCAGTTAAGCCGCACCGGTCAGGGCCATTCCCACCTTTTTGCTGTCAGAACAACACATTGCTGACCTGTTTTTATTACTCTTGGGTACAAAGGCAGGAGGCAGCCTGCGGGTCACACAGTCCTTCTCTGTTGGGCCTTTTGAGGAACCGAGCACCACCCCAAAGGGTGAGGCCTTGCTCAACCTTCCTGTGCCCACCGCAGCCCCTTCCCATGAGTCAGCACCCACTGTGCTCAGCCAACCACCCGGGGCCGGCGAGGTGGGGGGCGCCCAGGGGCCACACAGGCTCTTGGCTTCCCCTTGGTTCCTCCTCCTCCTTTTTTTAAAAAATATATTTTTATTGATTTCAGAGAGGAAGGGAGAGGGAGAGAGAGAGAGAAACATCAATGATGAGAGAGAATCATTGATAAGATGGCTCCTGCATGTCCCACACTGGGGATTGAGCCCACAACCCAGGCAGTGCCCTGACCGGGAATCAAACCACGACCCCCTGGTTCATAGGTTGATGCTCAGCCACTGAGCCACGCCAAACAGGTGCCCCACGTGGTGCCCACCATTGGGGCATCTCTCACTGGACTGTCCTGGGACCCTCACAGCCCTGCCTCCAGGCTTTGATCTCAGGGAAACAGCTGTGTTGGGCCCCCTAACCCCTCGTCCCTTCTGGGAGAGCTGACCTCCCCCGACCAGAGTCCCTTACTGGTTGCAAGGCCCTGAGGGCCAGCTTGCTGCCTGGTTCACAGGGCACCCCTTGCTCCTGAGGGCAGAGACCATCTGCCATTCAGAGTCTGGCCCACGGGGGGTGGGGGGGTGGGGGGGGCATCTCTGTGCTCACATGACCCCTCCTCCCCGTTCAGTGGCCCCACCCCCTTGTTCATGTGACCACTCCCTCACATGGCCACACCTGTGTTCACTGAACCCCCCATCTGGGTCCCCAGGACTCTGCCAGGGGCGTTTTGCCACCTGTGCCCGCCCCCTCTGGAGGCAGCTCACAGGCACTTGCTGGCTGTGAGGTTTGGGGACAGCCTATGAGCAGAAGGTGCACCTTTCTGGTCCCCGCACTCAACGGGTCTGAGAGGGGTGGCGGGGGGAGGGTCAGTTCTTGAGTTTGGGAGACGGAGGAGGCACACACCCCTATAAGAGGGCAGTTGGAGCTGGCCCTGCCTGGGAGAGGGGCCATGCTGTGCCTGGGCCACCTTTGGGGTCAGTGCTGGGTCAGGGTTCATGCTGGGGTTGGGGTGGGTCAGGGCTAGGGGCCATAGATGGTGAGCGGTGGCGCTCATTGTTGTTAGGATTTCGCCTTATTTTTTAAAAACATATTTTTATTGATTTGAGAGAGGAAGGGAGAGAGAGAGATAGAAACATCCACGATGGGAGAGAATCATGGACTGGCTGCCTCCTGCACGCCCCCACTGGGATGGAGCCCACAACCCGGGCCTGTGCCCTGACAGGAATTGAACCCTGACCTGGTTCATAGGTCGATGAGCCACACTGGCCGGGTGGGCCCTTGGGTTTTTACAGACACACCATGGGCCACTTTACTGGGACTGAACCAGTACCCTATAGAGCACATGTTTTGATTTTTTGTGTGTTTTTTAAAATATATTTTATTGATTTCTTACAGAGAGGAAGGGAGAGAGACAGAGAGCTAGAAACATCGATGAGAGAGAGACATCGATCAGCTGCCTCCTGCACATCTCCCACTGGGGATGTGCCCGCAACCCAGGTACATGCCCTTGACCGGAATCGAACCCGGGACCCTTCAGTCCGCAGGCCGACGCTCTATCCACTGAGCCAAACCGGTTTCGGCCAGAGCACATGTTTTTGACCCGCAAAGCAATGGGGAAGGGAGGGTGTCACCCCATTTTATAGAGAAGCAAACCCAGTCCCAGAAAGCCAAAGCAAGGCAGAAGAGTAGCTGGGATTGAACCCCGGCTCTGCCACAGCAAGTCAAAGGTCGGGGTCCTCCCAGCTCCTCCGTGGGCCAGGCTGTTTCTGTTTCTTCCCGGGACAGGCTCCCTCGCCCACCTCCCCTGCGGCCTGGCTGATGGACCTGCGGCTGACCGTACTCCTCCCGACCTCCCCAGGCGCTGCCCTCACGCACAGCCTTCCTCAGGGTCCACTGGGTTGGGCGTTTGTCCAGCACTGGCAGGCCAGCTCGGGGCCCAGCCCTGGACGCAGGCATGCCACCCGCGTGGGATACACAACGGACAGCAGGGGCCGGGCCGGGCTGTGCAGAAGTCCCAGCCTCCGTGCCCATCACTGCCCCGGCCCCACGGTGCCACCGCCGGGCGGCGGAGCACACGCTTTGTCTCCACTTGGGGCAGCTGTGCCTCTTCGGCCCTGACGCTCAGCCGCGGGGACGGTGTCCCGGCTGCAGCACCGGTTGCCTGCCAACGCGGGTGTTTCCTTCTGAACGTATCTCTGGGCACGCGAATTAAAGCACACACGCTGTGCGTGCACCGCGCGGGCAAATTCTCACAGCAAACCTGGCCACACCCGCGCCCGCGCAGATCCACCCTCGGGGAGCTCAGCGGGTGAAGCCT